ATATCCGATTGAGATGATTCAAGTTGCGTTGGAAAGCTAACTCAAAGGCCTACAACTTTACTTCAGACATCATTCTCCAATTCAATCGTTTACTATGTCAAAAATGAGTCTCAATATGAGACTAAAAATCTGGAGCAAAACTTATCGGTTGTAAATTGATTTGTGATCATATTTTGACTAAATTTGATCCCTTTGACATTTTTCGTCATCCAATTGGCTCTGATCACTCTCAAATTTTCATCATGAGATTTGGTATAACTTTTCAATATTTGTACTTTAGTCCCCGAACTTTAGATCTCTTACAATTTAGCCATTTCCTTTCCAACTTTTGTTTATTTTCTTCAATATTATCAACCTACATCACAACATCAAAACACACATAAAAACACTCTAAAACTCTCTCAAGGATAACAAAATAACGAATTAAGTGACATAATTATCATGAGTGTAGAACACTCATCAATTGGTTTCCGAAACTATCGGAACCTCTAGCTTCTTTGCATCTAATTCCATCTCCAGAGAGGTTAGGTTAGATCTGCTTTTCTTAAATCCTATATCACCATATCTACCCGAGTCTAAAGCGCCTTGACATGGATGGAGTCTCGATTGAATCGAATCAAAGTTAATTCCTTGTAATCATTGTATGAAGTTCCACAGATGGCTAAGCAAGAATGCAGTTGAAATCCGAATGAAGAACCAGAAGATACAGGGTCTTGGCCGTGTACACTTTAAGAGTTGAATGAAAATAACTTTTAGGTTTTTGTACTGTAGCAAAGACATCAAGAAGTGCAGTTTTAAAGCTAATTGGAAATGTTCAGCAAGAGTCAAAGGAGAAAAGGTTGAGAGAAATGTGAAGAAAATGGCAAGAAAAAAATCTCATTTTCCCCATTGCATAGTGAAGAGCATGAAGCATGTAAGAAACTAGTGGATCTTTAGAGCCACATGGGAGAGGGTTAGATTTGAAAGAAGGGATAAGATGGTGGTGGGCTGGGAGGTAGGCGAGTTGTTTTTAAATTATTTTAATTAGGATTCGTTTGCAGTTTTTACTATATTACAATTAATTCTTTATTTTCTCTTCGTTTCTTTTCATTTATTTAAGCTTGAGGGTAAAATCCTCATTTTACAAGGCCGTATGGAGAAAGGACGAAAAGGTTGTATTCCGCAACGAAAAGATTATATTCCGCAAGGTTTGGTTGATTTGAGGTGGTATTGTGCCAAAATGAAAGGTTAGGGGTATTACACAAAACTAGTAAAGGTTAGGGGATATTTCACCAATTACCCTAAATAACCCTTTAATTGGATGAATAATTTAAGTTCAGCCTAAATTTCTACTATAGGTAATCAGAAGGAAAATAAAAAAAAAAGAACTTGTTTTTAAGTGCCATATGGTGTAGTACAATAGAGTTCTGATAATTTCTCGAGACAGGTTCCTCCTATGGGTTTGTTCTACCCGATGCTTTTGGTTCCAGATGTGTATCCTCCACCACCCCGTTCTTGGTTAGTTTTGTGTTTCTATTTTGTAGATTTGTTTTATATAATTAGTTCTTCTGATTCACTTCTCCATCTCTTGATGTTCTTCCCAGGTTTAATGATTATGAGGATATGCTGGATGAGACTTGGGACTTTCCTAGAAGAACTGACATGTCTGATGGCAACTTTCCTGGCAGCAGTGGATATTTCCCTATGTGGGAAAACTACCCAATATTTCAAACAAAGCCAAAGAAAGAGGATAATATTGGTCTTGCAGATGCTATTACGAAGAGTATTCTTTCAACAGGTAGATTTTAATTTCATTTACGCTCAAGTTTTTACATTTGATTTTCTTCTGTTTGACGTCTTTGGATTCCACACTGTCAGGGCGTATAGACCTACAGAGAAGGTTGTTCTGTAGCATGCAACTGGTGAGTTCTACCCTCCATAAGCTCTTCAAGACTCTGCTTAAGTACTGCACAATTTTTTTTAATTTTTATGACTTGATTTAGTTTTTCAGATAGGTGGAGTAGCTTTGACTGCAGGTCTTGTTCCTGCTGTGGAAGAGAGGTTTGTTTTTATAGCTTAAAAATGAAGTTTTCTTGTGCTAATGCTATGATTGGATAAATATGTGCAAATGGCAATTGTTGAACTCCTTTCCAAAGTTCATTTAAATAAGTTCGATTACCTTTTCCAGCATATTTTCTAGGGGTGTCCAAAAGTTCTGAACCGGATCGAACCGAACCGAGCGGTTTTTCATAAGTTAAATACTCGAACTGGTACCCGAATCGAAAATCGATGGGTTTGGGTCGATCTCGGGTCTAGATCAAGAACCGAAGAACCGAATAAGAATCGAAACTAAATAATTTTTTTTATTTTTTATATTGAATTAATTGAATTATTTTATTTTTTCTAAACAAATTAGCAAATTAATTAAATAAATCAGATTATTTCATAATTTTAATTTTAAAGCCTAAATCATTTTTAAAGCCCATTAGCCCATTTTAATTTGCTCATGACTATTCGAATTTGCTCAGTAAATTTAAAACCTTTAAATGAGATAAAATTAATCTTATTGGACGGTTAGTTATTTATATGTTTTTGAATTGGGCTACGTTAATTTGTAAAAGTTACGAATGAAATGTCATTAGTTGTATTTATGTAGTGTTACTGTAAATATTAAAAAAATTAATTATGGTACCGAACCGAATCGAACCCGAACAATTCCATACTTATATTTGGACCTAACGGTTCCATTTATTAGATACCCGAAAGTTTTGAGTCGGTTCGGTTCTCTTCAGAATTGAACCGAACCGACCCACGGACAACCCTAATATTTTTAGCACTTGCCTTTTCGAACAAGCATGCAATTTTTTTTTTTCGTGGGGTTAGGGAATACGGTCATGTTAATTGGATGAATTATGTTCATTTCTCTTTGTTTCTTTCAACCTTGTATTTTCTTGCAGAGTATTGCACGCAATTCCTTCACATGAAGCTATAGATACTGTAGAGGTTGGTCACCTTATGCTTCTTTGTATACTATGAGCTATTATGGAATTCTGCCTTTTGCATTATTATGAAATTCTAGATAGCTGGCGACTTGTTTCAGTACTGAGTGTTTTAATAGTATGCTTTAAGGTAGTTTTACTTGATTCAGTAACAGGTTGCAGTTCCACGCCTTACACTGACACCTTTACCATATTCATCATATTCAAATTGGCTGTCAAAATTTTTGGACATGATATTTAAGTAATTCCATAAAAGCTAAGAAAATCAGTGAACAAAACAATTATAAATAGATAAAGTGAAACATCTATCCTCTATCACGATAATGTATTTTCATTATTTTTTGGCCTTCTCTTTTATTTTTGTTTACCCAGATTACTTTACAATCTAACAAAGAACTTCAGGACATTGTAGCTATCCTTAGATTGAAGCCAATTGTTTAACCTTACAAAGATAGCAAAATCGCAAAAAATTGAGCACACCTCTTCGTTTTCTGGCTGCCTTAAGTGCCAACAACTTTGATAATTATTTTGTTGAAAATAAGCTGAGCCTTTTTTTTTTTTTTTGCATCTTGCTGTTATTTTGTTTTTATTGTATTTAAGTTATTTTTATAGTTCTCCAACTTTACAATTCCTTCTTTTTTGGCTGTTAGATATCTGACATTCTGTCACATTTTCAGGTTCTGCAATCAAGAACAAATCCGACTTTTGTAGCATGGAAAGGTGGAGCAGTAAGTATTTTCTTTGCATGATGACATCGATTGCTCAATGTGCCAACCAAGTATTTTTCTTATATTCTGGTTTTATATATACAAAGAATGAGGTGTGCAAATCTTAAATTTCCCTTCTGCTTATGCAAATCTCCCTACGGTAAATAAGAATAATAGGAATAGGAATTTTCAAATTATCCTTTCCCTTCCCATGGTTTGATTCGCTGCATATTGGTCCCTTCTAATTATTCTAACTGTGTTTATGTTCTCTGTGTAAAGTGAGTCAAGTGAAATTGTATCTTTATCATTGGAAGTAGCACCATGAAGTCTAAGGAAAAAGTGTCCCTTTCCATTACCTAATTTCTTTTAAACAAATGAATCAAGTTGAACTCTAATATAGCGTTAAATTGGCATAATCGCTTCATTCGTTACAGTGTATTCAGTCAGAAACTGTTTTGTCATGGACCTACACAGGATTTAACTTATTCATTCTCCATGTAATTTTGGTACAGATACTTGGCATTCTTGATTTTACACGTGATGCCTGGATACATCGTGAGGACTGGATCCAAACTGGGATTCACGTTGGAAGTGGAAGAAAGTACAGAGACTCTTATTTTCTCCAAGCGCAATCCATGTGCTACATAAATTCATAACAGGTAAATTTGTACTCTTTTACTCCTGGTTTGAGCAGCTACAGGACTTTACTATTACTGATTATTTTTGGCTACCTCAATAACTGCATTTCTGGACGTTAAGAAGTTCAATTTCTTTAAAACAGCTTCAGATCTGCCAAATTCTGGATTTTATAGTCACTCTAAAAAAATGTTCAGAATCCTTGTATAGTCATCTAGTATTTGTCCCCACAACATAGAGTGTCATCACATTGCATTTTCCTTTCGTTTTCTGTCATTCTAACATCCTTGGAGGTGAAATGCCTGACAGAATCGGAAGAGTGCTTGCATAACTGCTGCTGGTGAAGATTTTAATTTAGAGAAATGTTGTGTTGATACACCCCTGAAATTCGTATGCATGAAATGAACTCACTTCTGTTTCACAAAGCATGTGGTGGATCCAGAAGTCCGTGAATCAAGGCGAATATGGAAACTGGGATTCAGGTACTGTTTGGTAGGACTAGTTGGTCTCTTTCCTGGTGTGAAATTCTAATGACATTTAATCAAAACGTGGAATCAAATCTTTTTGCATAATCCTGTTGACTCTTTAAACTCGGCTGTTTAGCCCAAAAAATGTCTGTTCAATTGATCTAAAGCTTTCTTGGTTGTCAATTCGGTTTAATAATCTGGCGAGATCAAAGCCAAAATCAACTTCTTTTTTTCTCTCGTGTTCTTTCTAACAACGCGTCACACACACAATATACGATTCACCGTGAATGTAATTCAGGAACGCTTCTGCAATTTATGTGTGTACGCTGAAGATCGACGATGAGTGGTTGACTATTGCATGAATCCCAGCAATAAAGTGAGGCCAAATTGAGGACGTGTTTGATATAGATTTTTTTTTAAATAGATTTTTTGAAAATTAAAAAAAAAAATTTGAAAATGTCCAGTGAAAAAAATAAGGATGAGTTATGACTTCACGTGCAAAATTATTTTATTTATTTTATTTAGAGAACTTGTGATTGAAAATATATTTTAAAGAATCGGCTTAATAGCACAAAAGGTTCATACGTTTGGCTTGTATGTAAAATGTCCTTACATTTTAAATTTTAACCTTTATTTTCACGTTTCATTGCGAAAATCGTTATTTTCACCAATGTAAAATGATCAATATACCATACAATTTAAATAAAAATAAAAAACAAATAGTAATTATACTCTCAAATTTTTTTAAAAGTGTAGATGAATCCAAAAACTTTATTAAAACATTAAAAATGAAGGGAAAAAAATTATATCTCTGTTCTGGCCTCCTCTTTCCTCTACCTCCTCCTCCCACCACTTCCTCCACTGAATTGAATCGATACCCAATGTGAAATTTTTGTTCAATTCTTATTTAGCAGTAGTAGCGAAGTGCTGAGTTGATGGCATATTGTGTATGCATGTAATTCACTGAATGGATATGATCGAAAGACACCATTCCATCGTCCCCAAATCTCTCCATGTGGGGAGGCATGAAGGCTTTGGAATTTGATGATATCAGGGTTTTGTAAAACTCTAAAAGGTCAAAACCCCACAATTTCTACTTCTAGTTTGGGTTTTGTTATATTCTCCTCAAAATTACACTACATCAATCCATCTTTGATTTTTTGAAAATTAAAAAAAAAATTGAAAATGTCCAGTAAAAAAAAAAAAAAGGATGAGTTATGACTTCACGTGCAAAATTATTTTATTTATTTTATTTAGAGAACTTGTGATTGAAAATATACTTTAAAGAATCGGCTTAATAGCACAAAATGTTCATACGTTTGGCTTGTATGTAAAATGTCCTTACATTTTAAATTTTAACCCTTATTTTCACGTTTCATTGCGAAAACCGTTATTTTCACCAATGTAAAATGACCAATATACCATACAATTTAAATAAAAATAAAAAACAAATAGTAATTATACTCTCAATTGTTTTTAAAAGTGTAGATGAATCCAAAAACTTTATTAAAACATTAAAAATGAAGGGAAAAAAAAATTATATCTCTGTTCTGGCCTCCTCCTTCCTCTACCTCCTCCTCCCACCACTTCCTCCACTGAATTGAATCGATACCCAATGTGAAATTTTTGTTCAATTCTTATTTAGCAGTAATAGCGAAGTGCTGAGTTGATGGCATATTGTGTATGCATGTAATTCACTGAATGGATATGATCGAAAGACACCATTCCATCGTCCCCAAATCTCTCCATGTGGGGAGGCACGAAGGCTTTGGAATTTGATGATATCAGGGTTTTGTAAAACTCTAAAAGGTCAAAACCCCCCAAATTTCTACTTCTAGTTTGGGTTTTGTTATCTTCTCCTCAAAATTACACTACATCAATCCATCTTCTCTACAGATTTTCTCACATAATTATAGAGATATACAATTTATAGGGTTTAATTCATTTTCAGTTTAGAAAAAGCAAGAAAATGGCCTCCTAAATAGCTCAAATTCACGCTCTTCGACTTGGGGTCGGCACTCACTTGACATCCTCTACCCAAATCATTAGAAATCCCTCCAAAATAGTAATTTTTGGGCAAAGACTTAATCAGACAGCGTATGTTGGTTTCAGGCTGAGAAGGCCATAAGCAGCTCGCGAGGAAATCCCACTTGGACGCCTTTACGCGTAGTATCTGAAAAAGTTGTTGGAATTGATGTGGGAATGACTAATTCTGCGATGGCAACGATGGAGGGAGGGAAGCCGACGATAGTGACCAATACTGAGGGGGCAGCGGACCACTCCTTCGATCGTGGCCCATCCGGTGGTATGGAAGTTCAGTGGTTTGGATGGTGGTTGGTCGGAGTGTTTTGGCTTCAAAAGTGGAAAAGGGAGGAGAGAAAGAGAACATTTTTTTAAAATTTTAATAATTAATTGGACTTATTTGCGCTTTTTAAAAAGTTTGACAGTATAATTGCAATTTTTATTTTATTTTATTTAATTTAAATTGTAGGGTATATTGGTCATTTTACATTAAAAATTGGTGAAAATAACATTTTTCACAATGAAACATGAAAATGAGGTGAAAATGTAAAAAATTGAAACGTAAGGACTTTTTGCACATAACAAACCAGATATTTTGCTATTAAGCTTTAAAGAATTTGTAATAAGTGCTGGTTAAGTTATAATGTGCAGATGGATATAATCCCTCACCGGAAAATGGAACCAATAAGGCCATAGAGGAAAAAAATCTGAAAGGGTTGGTTGGTTGATTAAATATGCTATGTTAGCTCTAGTTGAGACCTTTTTCGAACCTCATTTTTTGACAAAATGAATTTTGTAATAGTGAATTTTATTTATTATTTTTAAAATGTAGGGATGGATATGGTTTTATTTGGTTCTGGTTTCAAGATAATTGAATAAAAAAATGAATCATTGATTTTTTTGATAATAAAATAAATATTTCTTAATATGGAAACAAATAGGAATTAAATCATTCAGTTCTAGTTTGGTTATGGTTCCATTATTTAAATTTTCAAATGATAAATACAAATTAACATTTATCACTATATTAATAAGTCAGTAACATATGATCCCGTGCATCAGTTGAGTTATCTTGCCCACCAGCTAATATGGGTTGCCACGTCAAATGGTGGACATTTGTTATTCTGTCTATTGTGACTAGGAGATCAACTCAGTTGTCTAATAGCAATGATTTAGTAATATAAACAAATGAATCCTAGACAAGTTGAATTTTTTTTTTATGTGATTCACTGATATATATACATATATATATATATAT